AGTATATCGTATATATATATATATATATATATATATATTTTTTTTTTTTCTTATTCAAATTCCATTTAATCCTATTCTACGATTTATACATATTTTTATTTTATGTCATTTTTTTTCTGTAAAATCGTGTTTTTGTTTTACACGACCTGTAGATCTTGCTTTCATCATTCTATTTCTATTTTTTATTACATAACAGTAATTTTACTGATGTTTTGCTATTTACGTCGAACATCTTTTTCATTCATGTTCTTTGCGACTATTCGACTTATCATAATTCATAGATCATTATCATAAATCATAAATCATTTTTGAAAAAAAATTTTTATTATTATTGCGCATGAAGGAATTCTGATAAAAATTATCAAAAAAAAGTGTTATTTTTATTTAAAACAGAAGCTTTACGATTGCAGAGGCATATACGATTGATTGTTCTTTATCAGCATTTAAGTGACGTATTTCTGAGTTTACGTGGGGGAATCTGTTGTCTATAGTTTCGCAAAAAATTGTTAATCGCGTTGCTCTGTATCGCACCTGACACCTTGTACAATGTTTCACCGAGTTCTAAAACGCAGCTCTAGATTAAAATCATGTCAATGCAATTTCTATACGCTATTAATATTTACTTACGTTTATCATTTCAAATTGTTGCAACTCGTACATTTTAATACATGACATTTTAAATACTTAATATGAGTGGATATGTAAAAATGTTATTTTAAGAAAGATTCCTGACGTTTTATGTAGAATACATAAATGTAAATGATGGCATAAATTTTACGTATTATTTATTATACATTTTACTTAAATTTATAGACGAGTAAAATTATACATATCAGAAGCGTGAGATTTTGATAATCGCATAAATTCCGCGGAATATAATGACAAATGACATCGTGAATGATGTTTGACGAAAATTAAAATAAAAATCATTCGCACGTACTGCATACGATAATTAAAAATGTCATTTATTTCATTTTCTATTTTCGAAATCGTTAGAGTTAGAGAGACAAATTAAAAATTACGTACATTACAATGTGAAACATGGAGAGGACATTAAATATACAAACATGATGTAAATTATAAGAAATGATTTCTCATGTAATTTTAATAAATTGATCAATGCAGTTATGATAATTAATATCAACAAACAAATGTATTTCATTATTACATAATATCTTCATTTAGCCTGTTTTATATTACGGCTTATTATGACATATTATTTATTTATATTTATATTTATTTATTTATATTTATTTATTACATATTATTTATCATTTATTATTATTGCCGTTTTATTTGTTGTCATTTATCGTATTTCATTATTATGTTATTTATCACATTCTGTCAAAATATTTCTCAAAATATTTCACCTCATACAATTTGCATGCACGTCGTCTTTCGCGGCTCTCTCTCGAAAGCAACAAGTTCGACCACGATCGGGACGTCTCACCCTACTTCCTCTCCAACCCCCAACGTCGGACGTCGCGTTGCATAAGTGCATCCTGTAGGATTACCGTAAAACTTTTATTCCGCGCGTATCAGAGATGCAAGAATGTGCGTCGCATCTCGGCCTCGCGCCCAGGGCGCGGTAACGGAAAGAGAGGGGTAGCGTGAGAGGGTGAGTTACTCGTCGACGTATGATTTCTCCGGCGCCCTCCCTCCCCCCCGGTCAAACGCGCATGGCAGTTGGAACGGCGCGTATTTAAGGGCTGATCTCCGGCTGTTCTCGCCACTGTCACACGGTACTCTCGTCCGGGCCTTTCGCCGGCCACCCCACGCGGCGCTCTCGCCCTCGCAACCCCTCCTTCGTCCTTGCCGAGCCGTCGTCCACGTCCACGTCCGCACGACATTCCGCAGGTGGATCTCCACGTTTCCCTCTCATCCATTCCGCGCGTCCCGACGCCGTTTCACACGGATCTTAGTCTCAACTCGAGAGCTTTGGAGATTAATCGCGGAGCTTCTCGGGGGCACACCATCCCCCGTGGCGAACTCGCGGTCCCGCATACGGCTTATAGTCTTGCCGGTGCGACAAGGTGCGATAAAGGGGGCGCGACGAAGCCGTTAAAGCTCGCCGCTTTCGCGACGCTGATCATCCCTTCTCGACATCGCAGCAATTATCTTCTTTGCTATTTTTCCGCTCTCGCCAGGTTGGTACCGTCCCGTTTGGATTTAATTTTAATTTACTTGAGAAAAACATATTTTTGAAACAAAAGCATGCGTTATGATTTACGTTTACCGCGCCATCTCTCGATGGGTTTTCTTCGAAAAATTCCGATGAAATGTATCGGTAATACTTCTTAAAATATAAATCATTGAATTTAATTAATATTGTTGTATGAATTTTATAAGATATTTTGAATATTTTAACATAGATCTTTTAATATAATTATATATATAAATATAGAATTATATAAAATTATAATATTGTATATTATGTAGACAATATTACAATGCAGTATTATAATTATATACAACTAACATATAAATAAAAAAAATTTTTTAGATGTACATAGATATTTGATATAATAATTGAAAAATTGGCTATTGATTTGCAAAAGAACGCATCGATGTTTATTTTGCTTGAGAATTCACATCCGCATTTATATGAAAATATAAAATGCTAAAGTAAACTCTTTATTCAATATTTTACTTTGCAACATAAGAAAAAGGATACTTAAAAAGTTTGAGTTTTGTCCAATTTTGTAATTATCTAATATACAGAAAAGTTTTTGTTTTCACATAATTTTATTTAAGAGAATCGATGCTAGAGAGACGGATGTATCGTCGTCTCTCTACTCTTCTTCCAGAAATAATTCTTATACACCCACGCGAAGAATATAACTTCATTAGAGACTAAAGTGTTAAAGCGGCTTTGAGGCAATTGAACTGACGTAATTTGTTTTAATAGTATTCCTTTTTTTTACGTATACAACATTTTTTATTAGCGGTTATTGGAAAGCAGAGAAAAACGGGGTCTTTTTATATATTAATATTAAAATAAATATAATTTTCCTATTAATTCTCAACTTTAAGACTGATATGTAAGAAATCATTATTTGTATAAGGTGGAACATAAAAGTATCGATATTATGGTATCAATTGAGTTTCCTTTTACGTACTAAGCTCGCATATTTCTTTGACATTTTTCTTGAGAGCTCTCGTCGATTGGCAATGAATTTATTTCACGACTGGAAGGACGTGCAAGCGGAAATTATCTGGTAAAAACTGTATTTTAACTGTATTTTAACTGTATGTATGGATTAAACATTGGATGTAGACATCATTTTATGTATATATTATGTCATCTGCATACAAATTAGGTTGCTCGTTTACATCATTATGAGATTTTATGTTACACAGAACATGCTATAAAACTGAAACATTTTGGAAAGCAGAAACATTTTGATAAATATTCCGACTCGGAAAGAGGTTTCTTGAGATACTAATAATTCTTAAATTACGAGAATTGAAGAACTTCTCCGCGAATTAAATTCGAGAAGAGCAAGTGTGAGACATTATTCGGCGTTCATCGTGAAGTATACTTTAACAGAAGAACTTTTAATTAGAAATTTAATTACCGAAGTACAAAGTACCGTAGTTTAAAAAGTTTTGATACAGCATGATGTATCTACGATTCTCATTAAAGGAAAATTCGATGTTTAAATTGTATAAAAAGAAACGTGCATCAATTTCGCGGTAATTCTGAGACCTTCTGCAAACATTTCGTGTCGTATTGATGATGCAAAAACTCGAAGAGTGGAGATGCATTTAATCTTTCAGGAGATCAATTGCGAAGTTTGACATTTCAAATTCGTATTCGAATAAGACGTTGCGATAAAATTGATGGCGAGCGTTTCAATTTTATTCGACTATTTAGTAATGTAAGATCTATTTATTAAAATGTCGAACCTGGAAATTGATATCCTGAGAAATGTAAAAATAAACCGCCGATGAGTGCTGTCTCTCGATATCATCGTGATAAATACGTTTAAAATGATTTCACGATTCGACACGTAGGTAATTGATATCGATAAATAACCCAAAGTATCTAAAATTATAAACGTAATTAATATAAATTAACACAGTGGGTAATTTATATTTCACGAAAGTGAAATCTTTATATAAAATCCGATACGATTCTGATACTTCGATTACGTTGTGTGATAGGGAATTTGCGTCGATTATTACAAGAGAGTGGTTTTTCGCTCTTCAATTTGCGTGCCATCATTCGCGATAAAACGATGAACAATACGCACGGAATTAACATAACAGTCGGATTTAGGAATTATGTACCGGATTGATTTAATCATTTTACTCAGGTATATATATTACTGTACATTACAATCTCGCATGTTAATTCAGCTCGGTTCATACGCGACGAGATGTAACACGTGGCAGTCACAAATATCATCCTCATTAGCGTCTGACGATTAACACTGGCTCTTAATTAATTAAATTAATGTACGCGGTTCAACGCGGCTTATCGTTTCCTTCTCCTTCGTTAGTCTCTAGATTTCCGTCTCTCTCCTACGCTACGTTAATCGGAATTATCACAAGAATGAAAAGAATAAAAGGGACAAGGGAGAGAAGCATCGCATAAATTAGCCGCTGTTTTAATAACAAACAGCTAAGCGACGCAACGATGTATATACCGCTCTTCCTTCGCGTAAGATGCGAATTAATTTTCTCAAGGTTTTCATTAATTTTTGCCCGCATCGTCGGATAAAACGGATCAGAGAGACAAATCTCGCAGATCTCGTAGACGGGATGTATCCCTTAAATGTACACGCCCTTTGTCTTTTTCATCCTTTTTTCGCGAAACGATATTGTCTCGTTTCATCTTTTCTTTAATAGTGCTTTTGGCGCGCGATATCTTGACCGTATATTACGGACTTTCGAACGATATCTCACAAAGAGGCAGCTTCTCTCGTCCTCGAAAGGAAACGAGAATTTCATTCTCCCTTCTCTTTTGGAGTAAATATTGAGTAATCGCCCTTTCCTCCTTACGGGGAGCCGAGCTTACGGGCGGCGGCGCGACGAGGGTCGAAAATCCTCCTGGATTACGATGCCAGGTGACTTTATTATTCCGAAACTCTTACGGCATTTCGCGAAAAGTTCGTGATCTGGGTAAAGTACGCACGTACGAGTGCGGTCGACGATCTTGTTTTACATAAAGTTAATTCTCCACGCACAGGCCAAACTTTTCAGGAGGCGAACCCGACCGGATCCGGCCGGGTGTACTAATCTCCCTTGGCCTAGGGGGGGGGGTTTGCGTGGGGGGTTATCGTTGCCTCGACGCGATGGCTGCGGTGCCGGTCTCTAATGCCGCGCGTGCAACTTTCGCAAGTTTAATCGCGATCGTAATACGCGAGGGCAAACTCGTATAATCCGCTCCCGTAACAACATTCGTAACATCCGTCCGCGGGCATCCTTCGTCCATGCGCGAATAATGCAATACTCCTCGTGCGCCGCATTAAACCGTCAGCTGTAACGAGCGATTGTTATTTCTGCCCATTGCATTCGGCTCGATCTCACCCCGAAACGACGCGGGCATTTCGGATATTCGAGACATTCATATTCCCGAAACGATAAGATCGATCGGCGACATTTCGCTTCGCCCGTTTGACTTTAGCTCATCACGAACGTGACGACGAGCTCGCTCGCACTGTAATTTCCGTTATCTGCCTTTGGCATTCTCTCGGCTGCTCATTGAGAAAGAATCTGAAAATTACTCGTTCTCCTTCTGTTAACTGAATGGTTTGCGATAAAGAAAAAAGATTTTGAGTAAATTGAGTAAATTGATAGCTTTCTTGAAGTTCGATGAGGGTTTAATGAAAGGGACAAGGAATTAAATATAGGGAATCAGAAAAAAAGAAATTAAAATTTTCGACATACGCAAAAGCATGCTTCAATGAGGTGATCTCTTTAATTAATTCTCGAAATTTAATTTCCCTACAATTAATTTTTAATTTCCTATGTTTAATTCTTTGTTCTTTATTCCTTTCATTTCTTGACTCTAACTCGAAAAGGATAGTCTACAATAAAGAAGAATTAATAGCTTCAAATATCGTGAACATTATAGGGATGCATCATTCGTTAATGCGTATACGTATTCATTTCATTCATTTCAGACTTATTAAAAGTTTTCTTCAATGCTCGCTAATAAATCATTTTTGCCTAAAAAATATGAAGAGGTTATTTGCAGTCATAGATTACAACATTATAAGCGAGTCTCTAATGGACTTTTATAATATGGCCGGTGTATATATCGTGGATAGGCAGTGGATAGCACGCGATTTATTAAAATCATTTCAAGCACGATAAAACGTAAAGCTAACAAAACCCGGCGTTAGACTTTCGAAAACTTTTATTATTAGAAATCTGCCACGGTCGGAATGTGACAGAAGTAAAGAGAAACATGTAATAAACTGCATGTAATAGATGCTTTTATTGCCTGCGAGGCGAGTTTTCGTATCCGTCGAGTTTTTTTTTCATTTATTTTATTTATTTTTTTGCTAACATTGCTAGAATTTATTAGAATTGTGATAGCGCAGGGGAACACTTATAATATCCGACATTGCTGGCGACGTAATATAATTATTGCGCTTGTTAGGTATAAGATACCTACATAATGGAACCTATGACATATAAGAGTTCGTGGAACAAATCAATTTTTTGTTGGAAAGTAATGCGGAGTTAAGTCTTGATATTGATAATCTTTTTCAATAGCTTCTCTAATGTCATTTCCGCTGACTCGTAATATCAGAGAGATATAGACAACAATTTTATATTTTACAAGAAGTTGTAGATAGTGACAATATAGGACAACAATATATAAACATAGAGGGAGAGAGAGATTGGAAGGAAGGATTACACTTCTATACGTACAAAATCTGCAGGCATGAAATCGAGCCAGAAAAAATTGGAGCAGCGATATATGAACCAGGAATTCCGATGAAAAATAGGCATTCAGCAGTCAGTCAGTTTAAAATAAAATGTTGAAACTGCGATCATTATTTTACGATTGAAAATTAAAACTCAATTTCTTCAAGCTCTTTATATTTGAAAATCATCAATTGAAAGAAGAATCAAGAATATTTTAAGAAAGATAAAATAGTAATCTTAGACTTTCAAGATTAGAAAAATATTTTTTAAATTTCATAATCATTTTGTTAGAATAAATTTTCATTGGAATATATTAAGATTATTATGCATATTAAATACAATATTAATATAAATGCATATTAGTAGATAAAAATGTTTTGAAAGTACCAATGTTCAATATTTGCTACTTTTTCTTATTAATCTTAATGTTGTTTCTTTAAATTTAAGATAGACTCCATTTGTATTGCTAATCACTTTGGATGATAAACTAAATTATTTTAATTAAGTTTATCTTTTTTTGAAAGAGAAAAGCTAATTTCTCAGAAAAGTAAAAGTAGAAAAATAAGAATTCTCGCTTGATCCTTTCGAATTGCACATCTATGTGATTTCTCGCGGTGACGGAAAGACTGTTTCATCTTTTCGTTTTCATGGTATTAATATTTCATCGTACCTTCAAAGATACCTGCGCGTGAATTCGATTCACGTGGTAAGTACGGTTCGCGTGATATGTATTATTCCAATAATATCAGAGAGATGAAGAGAATTCGAAACATAGTCAACACTTTCAAGATATACGCTTATGCATAACATCACTCGTGCATTAATAATTCAGAGCATTTCAGGACACAACATACGCGATATGTGTCAATGTAGTCTAGAATCTTATTTATACTTTCAAATATATATATTATCTTTATATACCATAAAATGATAATATGCATTTATTATTATTTTTATTTTTAGAAGAGTTTTACATATCTTTACATTTTTAGAGATTTTGTGTTATTTTATGATATACTAAACAAATACGAATGTCTGTTTTTTTTATTTTCTACCAGTTATACACTTTTATGTTTATTAAATATACATATACAATATATATATATATATATATACAATAATTCTCGCATACATATCAGTTTATAAAATATTTTCATCTTATAATTTTGTGCTCATAATTTCTCACGTTATGTTGAGCATAAAAGAGCGATTTAAATTTATCGGGGTATTATCTTGGTATCAGACATTCATTCTCCTTTAATCTAAGAACATTTAAGAACATAAGAAATCGGAAGTTTTATAATTATCTTCGACCATTGTCTCTCTTGAGTTTTCTATCGACATCTCTTTCCGAAAATTTTTCGCTTTTTTATCCGTTTCACTTTAATCACATTGCCATGTATATATACACATTATTACACATTGCCATGTGTAACCTCTTTTTACAGCTATTACAAAGCTAAAACGTATAGGTCACGTGCATAGAATGCAGGGAATAATCACATACGAGAAACACATATGTATATCGGAATATACGAAAACGCACGTTTTTAGCATTGAATCGTATTATATACTATTCGTTGCATCGCCAATATTTACATACGTGCACTCGCACAATTGATGATAGCGAATGCAAACAATGTTACAATCATCTCTCTTTGTATTTTAATTTCGATATTTTCTAGTATCTGACTTGTTGAACATTAATTAAATTTAATCTTTATTTGGATTAATTTTTTTACACTTTTTTAAAATATTAATTAGTTTTTTTAGTTTAATATTAATTTTTTTAGTTTAATATTAATTTTTTTAGTTAAATATTAATTAGTTTTTTAAATTTAATATTAATTAATTTTCGCATCAACATTTTGAATAGTTAGATCGATATATTTTTATAATATTTTACTTACAACTGCTACTTAAGATTTTCTTAATAATAGACTTTTTTTTTAATCTCAAAGTCAATAAAAAATAATTAATTTTTTTAACCATAAAGTAGATTACTTTCTATTATAAATTAATCATAATTCTATAAAATCTACACATTTTACGATCAAAACCAAAAGAATAAAATTCTCATTTAGAAACATTGATGACAAAATACAACGATTTCTTTAATCTTTTCCGCTATTTTTTTTTTATTTCTAAAATATGTCTAAATTTTTATAATTTATCTTTTTAATTAATTCTCATAAAAACGAACATTTTTCTAAACACATTTTTTTCTATTAGTCAGTCGACTTTTCTTTCTTCTCCCCCTTAAAAATCCGCTTAAGCAAATCATTTTGAACGATTTGTCAAAAGGGCGGATGGACTTGTAAAAATTTAAGAATTTTTCTCGGTGATACGCGTGTACCAAGATGTCTTTTTTGAAGTGGGGTTTCTTGGTATGCGCGTACTTTCTTTTTCTTCCCCCGAGACTTAGTCGGGCGTGTTTTATTCAAACAAATTTTACTTCCGGCATCACCCCGCCTATCTTTCTTCCTGTATATAACGCTCGGCTCAATATACGTAAAACACGGATTACCGGGTCCATCAACCGTGAGTGCCGGTGAATCAGCAACAGGTTGCCTATTTGCTCCGATCCATGTACTACAATCGTGTATAAGTAGCTCTCGTCTCATGCAAACTCACTTGGCAAAATATAATTTCAAAAAAACATATTCGCCGACTTATTTACATATGTCATCGAGGTTGATCTGCGTCAGTGGATAGTTAATTTAGAGAAATTAATCGTCCCTTAATTAGTTGTTGTTGTACGAGTAAGAGGATCCTCGAAGAAGATATTACTTGAGTATACGTAGAACGTATCCTCGGGATATCTCCTGAAATATATTCCATATTATTTTTTATTAATTAACTCCTTATAAAATATAATAATTAAACCTTACTCATTACTTTCATCCTGTCGACTTAAAATTTCGATGATGCGCGTTTATGGAATTTCTTTTTTTTTTTTTACTTTCTTTTAGAAGTAAGTCCGGGAAAATTTCGATTACTTCGGTAAAATCTCGTAGAAAATTTTGATGTATTTGTAATTTTCATAGGACGCGCTCTTTTCACACGGCTCTTTTCTTCCTTTTCCAGAGGCGAGAGAGAATATTGAATTTGTTCGCCTTTTGTCCGCAAATGTTTGTTTCCGCTCTGATCCCGTTCGATGCTATCTGTTCAAACGAAATAAAGACTATCGGGCAGTTCGAGCACGAGCATTCGGTGTAACATGATTTTGTTCGCAAGGTTCTCTCGTATCTTTATCAATAGTTCAACTTATTTCTCTGACTCGTTTTCAGATCACCTGTACAAGGCGACGCTCTTATGTCCTCCTTTTTTTCTTTGGACGATTCTTATCGTCTCTAACATTCCTCTCGTATATACAAACTATTCATCTTGCACGTGTCTCGATGAAGTACATTTACAATATGATTTGTGCATGATTTGTGTACAATACGATATCAATTTTCCGCGCATGTAAAAGTCGTGTTTCCGTGGTATAAAAAAATATTATTGCCGCGCGGTGTCTGGAAACAAGAGAAGATATTAATTTGATAGAAAAAAAGTTTTTGATAAATTAAAAGTAAAATTAGATTTAAAATTATCTTAAGAGAAACGAAAGAAGATATTCCTTTAATACAAAAAGAAACTTTTAATGAATCTAAGATTAGATTAAAAATTAAATTAAAAATAATTGATTTAACTAGAAATTGTATTATCGTTAGTTTGGATGCACAAAATGAGAGTTTATAAAAAATAACAAGTATCGTCTTTACAATTACTTTGTGCCTGATCAAATTTCAAAATGTCTTATGCAATCAAATGTTAATTGGCTCTTTGTACATATGTATATATATATATATATATATTATATATATATATAAT